AAAGTTGGAGCGAAAATGCACTTCTGTCCAGATAAATCTGAGATTTTGGTTAAGGTTGAAAAAAAAGTGTTAATAAAGAAACCAACAGCTGATTTCTTATAAGGCAACTCATTTGTACTGTAAATTGTGTTCATTGAAAACGCATTGTCCAGTAGGCCTCTTGAGCCTCACAGGATCACTGAATCCCCTCCTAAAAATATCCAAAATTATTTCGACTGAATAACTACTCTCCCAATTAACCCTTCAAAAAGAAAAGCTGTTAGAGAGAATTCCCCGAATATACAAATTTAGACAATCCCTCCTTCATACGTCTTGCACTTTCTCACCGATAGCGATTACCGATTTATCTAAAAAATACAGGAAACAAATTTTGGAAGCAAATTTCAAGCAATATTCAAGGGTTCCAAAGAGGATTTTTTGAGGTCAGACATGATCAGTTAGTTGACTGAGCAGCAGAACCAATTTACAACCAGCGCACTGATGAGGTCCAGAAAAGGAATGCATGTAACTCGATGGCCCGAAACGTCTTTGTGCCGCCGACTAACTTTTACATTTTATATGCGCCATCACTACAACCTCTGCTAAATTTTCTCAACTTCGATGATCACAGTAGAATTGGAGATGCTTTCCGTATTCATTCGCTTTGAGAAGTGAAATTGACACTGACACAGTCCGAATGATAATATGTGATACGAGCATCATCACCCCAGTGGCATGTAGATGGCCGCTTTTTCCTTGACCGGCTTAGAATGAAGCAAAGATAAGCTTAAAGCGCTTCAAGCAATAGTTCGACTGCCACATTCCTGTTTCCTCGAACAGTTTAATAATCGTTTCGTGCAAGTCATCAAACACATCAGAAAGAGTTGTTCACTGATATCAACAAGCGGGGAAAAGCCAGCCAGAAAAAAGAACAACTCTTGTACATATAAAAACCACAAATATCAAAATCACAAACTAACGAAACAGGATTGTCTGCATTACTAACAGTATGAAGAAAACAAAACTGATTGATATTGGCTGGTACACTCGAATAAGACAAATTCTCTTTAATCCTTAAAGACAAAGCCGAACATGCGAAATTTCATGCTAAACGGGATCGAAGGAACACTGAGGCACCACAAGTTTTTCGAAGGCAGCTTAAAAGCTCGAGACGGGTTTGAGTTCCTTGTAAGCCTTAACTCCAGTTTAATGCTGAAGCAAAAAACAAAAAATATTAATGAGCGATAAGAGTTACAACTTAACGCATTCAAAAAATCCACAGATATACTGATACTGTAGCATCGATTTCTTATTGCATGCATACAACGCAGTATTGGCTTTGCTTTCACGTTCATCGCTTGCAAATCTAAAATTTACAATAAAAATTCGCCGGATCCCGCAGACTTCTTCGCCCAAACGGGTCTTTTTCAGAACAGAAAAATTTATTTTAGCTAGGTGTTGGAGATTTTGAAAAGAAACTGGGCTGGTTAAGCAGCAAAAAATGTTTTTTACCCATGAGGTGTCAAAAGAACAGCACACAGCTACTAAGCGTACTGAGTCGACCACTTGAATCGAAATTTTGGTGTGATGTGGTGTGTTGGACAGAACAGTTACTGGTTGCACGGATGCGAATTCAGAACAATGAACCTACAGCATGCGCAAATACTCAGGTATCAAGAATTTTGCATATACTCATCACAGAAATCTTACCTGAAACCTTTCTGGTTGATGTACTGAATAATCAAATCATACGGCAATTCGATAGCACCTTCTGCATCACCATCAGCAAAGTGATAAGTAAGCGGGCCAAAATTCAACCACAATCCACCCTTTTTCAGAATTCTTGAAACACTGTATCTCGTCAGGAAGATAACAAAAAAGTCCAAAAGTCTAGATCAAACTATGCTAAGAAAGCCCCAATGAATGAATGCCATAAACGGAAAAAAAAAAAAACAGCCACAAGGATGTTTGCTCCGGATGTCCTCTGCACCAATGAGCCTCTGTACGTGCATGTGGAGGCTCTAATGACGGAGGAAAAATAGAAATAGTTAGCCGAATGACGAAGTTAGTCGCCACTTTTTCTGGAAAAACAAAAGGGGATACGGAATGACGATCAGCAGCAAGATATCATCAGACGAGTGCAAACCACTGAACTGCTGCCAGTAGCCCGGATGGTGTGCAGCGTTTGAAACATTAAAGTGAATTACCTGTGTATTGTATCGATATAATCGAGCACATTGACAGCCGTATCAATGAAAAACACTGTCACAACAACACTCCATTGATCGGTAGTATTTTTCAGTGCATCCAGAAAATCACCAGCGCACATTGAGAAGGCATTCTTCCTCTGAATAAAAAAAAGCACCTTCGAAAAGTAAAGTTCTCACGAACTGAGCTCACTGCACAGTTAGCAGATTCAACAAGCAGACATTTGGTCCTTAATCCATACATAAATCTTATCATTCCGTCTTCCTCTTCCTCCCCCCACCCCCCTCCTTCTCCTCCTCTCCCCTTTTACCAACAGCAGCATCAATAATACTCCTAGTTACTCGAACCGTCTGGATGGAAAACAGTGCAACAGAGCCGCACCATATTAGTGAACGGTGAAGGAACTCGCCTCATCCATAAAATGAGGGCACACATCCGGGAAACGCACTGGCCTTAGTTGCTCGTCGTAGGACCAACTATTGCATGTGTCCAAAACAAACGGATAAATTACATACTCATTCACCTGGAAAACAGCAAACATAAAAGAAACCAGGAAAATGTAGCGTAAGTGTTCAGCTGAATGCAAAAATTAGTTAAAAGGTAGCTCGGGCAATTCTATTATGTGTGGTCCTAGAGTTCACGAAAGCAGTACTTAAAAATCAATTATAAATTATAGCCTGGTTCATCAGTCATGCGGCCGGGCACATCTTCAGTTTCTCTGAAAAATGCTGAATCGCTCACTGATCAGTATGCTCGAAATTCTCTCAGCATTTTCTTTTGAGTGGAATACCAGTCTAACGATTTGTCCGACAAAGCCTTATACAATTCCAAATGTCTCAATTCTAAATCCATCGTTTTAAGCTAAGTACACAACCCCCCCTTCGAAGCAGCCTAGTGCCAGAGCTGTCTTGTTCCAATTGACAGGCAAACAAAACTGCAATTAAATGCAATAGATACAAAAGAGCATCTGAAGCATTTCCTTTTAATAAAATGATACAAGTGCATATATATGCATATATGTATAATAGTAATGACGAATAAAAAAGAGTAATGACTTATATAATAGTAATGACTTTTATAATAAATGGAATAGGATGACTAAGAACTACCAGCTGACAAGGCTGCTTATAAGCAAGTTAACGCGGTGTGTTCTGATTACCTGATATGGCAGTATCAATTTGTCACTGAAACGAATGAACGAATCATTCAGGTTATTGGAGAGGACGAACTTTTGGACTACTGCACTACTCCTCACTGCGGCCAAAAAAAACAATAATCTTAATGAAGAGTAAGTATCAGTATGAGTAGAAACAAAAACGTTCTTGAAAAGAGGACAAGAACTTAAACCTGTTTACAGTTATTGAGGATGAAATTTGACACGAGCAACATTAGAATGGAAAATTCATTTCCTTGAACCGAAAATCCGTCGGCTACGAGTTCCCATGCCAATCTTGCTAAACCTGCGCCTGGAACCAGAACCGTAACTTTGTGTCGCATTGACTTATCCGGAAAACGTTCACGTAGAATTCGAATAACTTCACCATAACAACTTTCTCTTTCAGATTCACCTAAAAAAGATATTTCAATTAAAAGTAACCGGACATATGTAACGCGTGAAACACACATACATATGAAATTATGGATGAAACGCAGGACACACTCTATGGAAGGCGCAGTAAGAAGGTATAAAAGGAAGGATGGAGTCTGCGTACTCGCACTCAGAGAGCAAATATCCTCATGAAATTAGAGAAACCTAATTAGCCCAGTCCCAGACATGGGATTTTGCCAAGTACTGTGAAATCGCAATTCTGACGTGCTCGCATACATGACGTACACGTGCGTTCAGGCTGAATTTGAAATCTTTAACTCAAGCAAGCATAGAATTTCTTATCTGTCTGATTCCGGAAATCCTTCTTTCGCCAAAAAATTGAAATTTTTTTATGCATCCGTATATGAGACCTAGGCGTATGTGACGACGCTCATAAAAAGAGAACACTGCGCATGGGATGGAAACATGCACCAAAAATCCCAGCCTCCTACCTTCACCGGTTACAGATTTGAAAACCCAGGCTGGAACGCACCAGGCGAGCCGGTGCGATTATGCGTTTTTGCACTTCTCCTG